TACTAAAACATTTGTGGCGGTTTCGAAGGCCATCAGACCTCTGCGCTGATGCGATCCTCGTAACAAGATACTACCTACTGCATTATTGCTCCACCGCTAACCATCTAAAACACATTGGTATTCAGCAGGTTTACCGGTCTCTTGCCAAAAGGAGCAACAATTGTTTCACTAAAACCGTAGAAAAATGTCATCAGAGAGCTAGGTTATTGTGGCTACCTCATGTAAAAAACCTGAGCTGAGTAAGAATGCAACATTCATGCGTAACAACAAAATTTATCAACAATAACAATTTATTTTTTTCCTTTGCCGCCCTTTCCCTTTGAAGAGGCCACAGGTTCCTCCACGACCAGGGTATCGTGACAGCGACCACAGTAGTATCGGTTCTCATGGGCAGCCATGAAGACACCTCCTCCACACGTCGGTGATTGGCACTCCTTGCGAAGACGGCGGATTTTACCATTGTCATCAACCTTAAACAATTGCATTCAGGCCAAATTCAAACAAAATTGGGATCAGCAGTATGTAATAAACCAGAGCCGGGGAACTAGCTCAGAAACTCAAAACAACAGTCACGATACTCTCAGAGGCCTGGACACCGATGTCAAAAATATAATCATCACTGCTAAAATCCCACAAGGCTCCGTTAATTTCAATTCCTGCTTTAGAAGCAATCAAATCATTACCTCATAGTACTTCAACACAGCGAGCTTGACCTTCTTTCTCTTGTGCTTGATTTTCTTGGGAGTCGTGTAGACCTTCTTCTTTCTCTTTTTAGCACCTCCGAGCAGGCTGGAACAAATATAATTTGCAGTGATCGAAAACATGGTACCAAACCTAACCCAAAACCAGGATTAGAAATCTAGCTCAGAAACTCAAAACATCAGTCACGTTACTCTCAGAGGCCTGGACACCGATGTCAAAAATATGATCATCATTGCTAGAATCCGACTATCAAGAGAACCACACACCTCAGCGATAAATGAAGAGTAGACTCTGCTTCGACCTCATCATCATCGGAGAGCTGACGACCTATAGCATTAGCGGATCATGCACTTTCAAGAGCTGGGTCCGTCCTCAAGGACCAACAATTGGTCCTCTCGGGATTCAGCATAAAGCAGAACACAAGTAAAAAAAACCTTGTCATCTGCAGACGCCGAACTTTCAACAACTCACCGGCGTAAATTAGCCTCTGATCTTCGACAGCGATTCCTTCGCGTTCTGCGATTAAAGACTTGATGCTTGAGACATCGTTGACATCGAGGGCCAATGTCTGACCCGAAAGAGTCTTGACGAAGATCATTACGACCTCTCACCCAGTACTGAAAACTTTTCAATAATGCGAGGAGAAACATAAGAAACGACGTCCAAGCTGCTACAATTCGAGAGAAGAAGAAAGCCACAGAAAAAAGTCAACCCCTATCCTAAAGATTAACCAGGACACACGCAAGATAGGAAGAACGATGTGAAAGAGACCAACATTACAACTGTGAAAAAATTTAGGCCAAAGCAAATTTGAGCGCGAAGGCTACTGTAGTCCCTGAAAAACAGGAAGTCAAACATTTACGGCGCGTGCGGTGCGTAGACTTCGTTTGGAGCACGAAAACTTTGGTGGCTTATCAAGAGTCAAATGTGATAGCGGGGGTCAGGTCTCTACTAGTAAAACCCTCCCTTCCCTAGGTTTCTTTTCGCTTATTACTCATGTCTATTTCAAACTCCACCTTCAGGGAAAGATTAAGACCACAGTACCTGTGGATGGAGGTTCTGGCAATATTATTTGACTTTCATCGAAAGCAATTACTCAGTCACGAAAAACATTAGGAGCTTTTGACTCGACCTTTCGGGAATGACGTGGACGTAGCGCTCCACAAAAAAGTTGGCCGGTTGATAAACACTCACTCCTGCTTGGGTACCCCCCATGGAGGCCCGTCGCGCGGCAAGAAGGCAAAGTCAGCGGACGAGTCGCGCGCGTACTATAGGGATTTCGCGTCAAGTTGAATAGAGTGTCCCACTGCACGTCCTACATCGCACACCACGCGCTGCAACTCGTCCGCCGACTCTGCCTTCTTGCCGCGCGACGGGCCTCCTGGGGGGTACCCCTTCTGTGAGCTCCTCACCGTTCAACTTAAACAGACCTCTGATTAAAATGTTACCTGAAAATCCAGGATGCATCGGATCGGAAAAAATTCAAATTGTTCTTACCAATTTGGAGTGGTTGAGCACGCCATTTATAAATGAAATGCCACCGACGTAATATCACTGTTCATTGATTGATGCCCATGGTCCTTGTTGTAATAGTCACGCCAGTGGTCATTCAAATGTCACAGCCGAAGTCGAGTGCAAGGCGCACTCTGAAGAAAGGCTGATTGGAGCTAACTACTTAATTTATCAATCTTTTATTAGTATTTGCAGCTGGCCTACTCTTGCAGCTATGGGGGGGTGGCAAAACAAGTCATTTTGCCCATGGCATCAGGAATTTTTTTCGACAGAGTGCCGCCGTTGATGGAAGTTTACCACAAAGTTTTCTCTAGATGCTCCTCCAAAACATGAAGCAGGCCTTTTTTTCACTGCTCTCACCGTCCTCAAAATATGACGCCATCTGCCATTACTGTCGAGCTCAAGAAGCCTCCGTATTCCCTCCCCTTTAAAGGAATCTTGCGCGGAAAAATCATGATTCTATTTCAGCCATAAATCACTGGCTTGAGACTCATTATCCACGATAATAGTGAAAAGAACTGAAGTATTGCTTTCGTTTTGATTAGAAATTCGAAAACTCGAAAAGGCTGCTACGCGTTCGAATTGCCCACGGACGTCTTTCACGAATGCTGGCGACGGGGATGCTCAAACTTGGTTCTTGGAGTGCATTCACTAGAAGCTCTTTCTGGCCTTCTGCTTCGTTGCATTCACATCTTACACTTCTACTCCATCCTATTCCATCGATCGATTTGTCTCCACTCTCCGAAATCGCGCGCTTTAACCCGATTCTCTCATTGCGTCGCCTGGTACGTAGCCGGCCAAACGCCGTCTTCTTTCCATGCCTCGCCTGGCTCTGCCTCCTGGTCCTTCGATGGTCCATAACGTGTAGTTTTTGTACGTTTGTTTCTCTTCAGAAACCGAATCTTCATGCGTGAAACTTTGTGTGCTATTTCCAGTGATCACAACTGACATATTCATGTTAGGAAAGAGTGCAAGAATTTTCCGCGCAAGATTCCTTTAAGCTGACAATAATTTCTTGATTGATTCCCGTTAAGTAGTTTCCCAGAAAAATCAGCTCTGGCTATGTGAAACCTTTCCATCCGCGTTTCAGATGAGTTTGTAATGGATACGACCCGTCGAGGACCTTGTTGAGCTCGAACCCTGACCATGTTCCCGTGACAAATTCTTCTGATCTCGTCGGGGTAGAAGGCTATTACGAAGCAATTTTGATACTGGAATATGTTCTCGAATTCCCAGCTGAAGCCAATCGGTGAAATCAGCAAGGTGAGATAAATTCCGTTTCAAATGGAGAGTGAGGATGACCTTTTGCCCTTCTCCCTCTCCCGCAATGAGTTCAAATTTTGCACATATTTTTCCTGAGCTCTCATTTACGCATGCATCTCGATGTAAGGCTACTCTTCTCCCTCTCCTCTCCACAAGCAGAAATTATAACACTGAGAAAATTGGCATACTAGGGCCCCAGCACCTGCTAGGTCAGAGCGCGATGTCGCGCGCGCACATTTAAGGTGTGCGTGATGGATGGCATAATTACGCGTCACGAAGTACGCGATAAATATGAACGTTGCGGCCGAACCTAATGACACCCTAACGGGAGTCCCTGTGCGACACCCCTTCCATTGTATCGTCCACACCTATGGATTTACCATACTAGGGGGCTATGGAGCCAAGGATATGGAGCGATTTCGATTCATCTCACCCTGTAACCGTGGCCCAGTTTCTCCCTTCAGACACCGACCAGTGCTCCTGACCACAACTAACGAACCATGTAAGGTAATTTGTGATTTGCACGGCTCACCTGATAAGCGGGTCCTAACCCTCCATCCGCAGATTAGTTAAGTGACATTAAGTCGTTCACATAGGCGTAAGAGCATGCGCTTTCGACTTAGGCGACCAAACTCTAGTGATCCATGACTTCGCGACTGACCGATTTCGCGAAAAAGTCCTGCCAGCAGCCTGCACTTTTTCGTAGTGGCGCAGCATTGCTTTACTTGAAATTGTCCCGTCACTTTCTCCTTGAACATGGGCGCCGTATCACATCAATTGTAGGTTCGATTATCACAAGGATGTCCGAATTATGGGCAAAACACTTGGTACAGCCTTGGAGCAGACCTGGCCCTCTTGCCCACAGGGTAGTAATGGGCCCTGTTTCACACGAACTAGTCTGCATTTTGTTTCTCGATGGGGCAAAAGACTTTTCTTGATGGGGCAAAAGAACTCAACGGTCTTGCGATAAGTTCACCTTTTGAAAGACCGCCAAATCGCCAAATGACTTTATCGTGTGATCGGCAAATTTTAGATCGATACGTATGTTCGCTCTATGGAAACGGGGCCTTTACGGCTTAGAGCGTAGTTGCGTGATAGAACTCCAAGCACTGCGGCGTCGGCTAGCCGAATGCCATGAGGGATGGATATCAGTGAGACTTATAGAGACTTCTTGAGAAGCAACTTACCATCCTGAGCATTGATAAACGTTGCTGGACCTACCAGAACGAAGGGACTATTATTTAGTACAAAACAAGGGTGATGAAGAACTGGTGCATCACCTTCAACGACTGGCAGGTCAGCACTTCAGACTTGAAATCAATGGATTACACTGTGGGATCGATTCTATGAGCTAGAGAGTTGGGTGGAACTTTACATTTTTAGGAAATTTCATTTTGAGTTCGCCTTACAAGGGAAGGATGGTAGGTCGAAGTGGCCGTTCGAAATGAAATGTATACCTCCTGATGCGTCTCCAGACGCTGATTCCAAATCTGCCTTCCAAATCTGCTAAACGGCTCTCCGAACGGAGTTATGAAGCGTAATAGCTCAGTGGTGATGGTCCGGGGTGGCAGGTAAAAGCTCGTAGGATCGGTTCCTTTGCAAGTTTGTTGCTTTGCTTTTGTCCGCAACACTTCTAGAGACAAAAGCAAAGCAACCAATTTGCAAAGGAACCGATCCTACGAGCTTTTACCTGCCACCCCGGACCATCACCACTGAGCTATTACGCTTCATAACTCCGTTCGGAGAGTCGTTTAGCAGATTTGGAAGGCAGATTTGGAATCAGCGTCTGGAGACGCATCAGGAGGTATACATTTCATTTCAAACGGCCACTTCGACCTACCATCCTTCCCTTGTCAGAGGCGTAGGACTGGTTCCATGCAGCACATTACTTTTCACAGGCGATGGGCCTCAATGCTTCTCAAGGCCTGTGTAAATGCCAACGAAGGAATTTCTGAGATTTGGTAAATGTTTACGATTCATGATTGAACAGTGACCGTTACTGCATTTATTGGTTTCTTAGAATTGGGGCATGTTAATGCTAAGCAACTTGAAATCGCTGTCGCTATAATTTGGCGCACCCTGTATCTGTAAGACTGAGTAATCCACCATACCCAACATAAATAATACCGAAGTGACTTCATCGGACTTCAAAATTAAGGGCGTCTGTCGAATATAAAAGTTCCGTTATAGTCGCGATGAGTGTATGGGCGGACTGTCGAGATCTATCCAACCTCCATTCCCTATTAGGCCGATATCAGACTGTGAATCGAGCGATTCGCGTGCGTCCGCGGTCGCGTCGTGGCCAACGGTTCGCTCGATTGGCAGGTATCGCAACGCGACCGCAAACGCTGGCGAATCGCTCTATTCGCAAAGTCTGACATAGGTCTTAGAGAATGAACCGCGGCAAACGACTCGCCGCAGATGGATGCGCACTTGAGTAACCCTTAAGGCACAGTCCACTACTGCCTAGTTGCGGCCAATACAATCAGAAATGAAGAAATGAAAGCAGAGACGCGATGTGGACAGTTAGCGGAGATGAAGAATGAACTTTTCGAAAACACTGACAGGTAATGAAGCCGTTGTTGTCGTTCCGCGGAGGAGTGTATCAAGAGAAACAGTGAAAATGAGTAAGGGGGTACAGGGGGCGGGAAGGGGGCGGGGAGGGAGTTCTCTCCAGAGAGAGGACGCTTTGTACCGATGGCTAGTCTTGGTTGTGCAAGGGCTTACCCAATGAGACTACTAGTGATGATTTAAAAAGTATCGTTCATGGCGCGACGACCGCTTCCATCAAATGCACTTTACAAAGGGATTTCTCTTTTTTTC